CTGTCGACTACCTAACGCAACCCTCCACTTTTCTCATCCAGGACTTGGGACCTGGCAACGGCAGTGTTGAGTGAAGGCACTAAATAATGGGAGAAGGCACTAAATGTTGGGAGGATGCTATGAGTGAATAATTTTATAGAATGTCGACTACCTAACGCAACCCTCCACTTTTCTCATCCAGGACTTGGGACCTGGCAACGGCAGTGTTGAGTGAAGGCACTAAATAATGGGAGAAGGCACTAAATGTTGGGAGGATGCTATGAGTGAATAATTTTATAGAAAGGAAACTCAGTGTCTTCCCTTAAACCATTTTCTAGAGAACCATAACTTTAACTCGATTTAGACCACTTAAACCACAGCAACCATCTCTTGTTTTCTTTCAAATGTTTCTTTAAATCACATATATCATGCAAGATTCAATGTCCATTAAAATGGTAATAATAAAAGATGGGAGTTTTTCCATTTCGTGTCATTTAAATTGCATTTGTAAGAGAAAATCTTGGGATAACAAGAATTTGTTCACACTTCCTATAAGGCGGGCATGCATTCTTGGCGAGTTATCACAGCATTTGAGTAATCTACTTCGGTGTTTAGAAACCTTCAAGGTTGGTAACCCAGTGTTCTTTCTGCTCTTCTTTCTTTTTCAGCACTGAGATTTTGACTATTGCTTCTTGTAGACTCTAGAAATAGAAACAAGTTTGTTAAATCTTTCTGAACGAGTTAAATGAATCACAATTTTGATAAGCTATTCTCTACATAAGATATGCACAAAATCTGTATATTATCTATAATCATTTCCGGCTCTATCAACAGATCATTGATTCTTCACACATAAACCCTTAAAGCTTCGGCCAAATTCATTTATCCATTCTTAAATTATATTCCTCAACGCACTTCATCATATGAAATGAAGTGGGAGAGAGAAAGTCCTAACATTGAATTGGCATAGAATTGGCAGATCTTCATATGGACATCTAGATTAGGCAGCTTTAAATTATTTGTGATAATTTATCATTTTAAGACGTCATTATTTGTGAATAATACATGGAGAATCAGTTATTTTTCGCAACTGTCAACGAAGTGCAAAGGGATAAAATGGTAAAAATTATTAGATTAAAAAAACACGTGTGTATCTGAATCATACCCTTCCCCGTCCATTCTATCAGAAAACCCACACAAGGGACTATTGGGTTCAAGTGGAGAATCACAAGAGTCATTTTCAGCAGAGTCACTCTCCCCTGCCACAGGAATGTGCGATATAAAGATAGCCTTGGTTGAAAATGGAATCAACTGCCCAGGAAAGCGCATAAGATCAACTAACAGTTCCACAGAGTTTAACATAACCACCACAGATATGTGCTTATATGAATCTGCACATTCAACACCACCATCCGGGGGGAGACCCTGTTTAAAAAAAAAAAAAACAGGAGTAAGAATTCAGAAGCCAACTTTTTTAGCATACATAATCATGCCAAGCAAATTTTTTTTTCCTTCAAGCAGGTCATGATGACAAACAACCTACTGATAAATAGCCCCAACAGAAAACAAAATAATGAATTACCACCATAAGCTTGCTTTCAAGGCCAACAGAATCTGCAAGCACTTTAAACAGAATTGCACGGGGTCTGCATGATCCATGCCTTATCTGCCCCAGAAGTTGGATGCCTTTATTTTCCATCAAATGAGAGACATCTTCAACAGAAGCCTTTGCAGGACTTAGCTCAGGGTTTGGACGTTTGTAGAAGTCGAAAACCTGGTATGTGAATGACATCAAATGCAATATTTATTAAAGAGAAGTATGCTCCATGCTAAGAAGTTGTTTTCAAAAGTTGGTAATGTATAAAAAAGTATCAGTGACAAAGAGAACATTCATGTATGTACTTATTCCAGAAATCTAAGGAAATCCAACTACTATATACCTTCATGATATTGTGAAAAACTCAAATATTTCCTCGTCCAAAACTACCAACAAACATTTTCTAGCACCCATGCAATATCAAACATTTCCTCGTCCAAAACTACCAACAAACATTTTCTAGCACCCATGCAATATCAAACATTTCCTCATCCAAAACTCATGTATGTACTTATTCCCCTACGAGACTATCTCCAACCCTAGCTGAAACTTCCTATAGAAATGCTCTTCTAGCTAAGGATGTCTTCATTTCTCCTCCTACACCAGTTCCGTTACACATGGAAACTTTATGTCTTCTCATTTTGTGATTGATCAATCTTTAGTCATATATATGTGTGCTTGTGTGTCAGTATGTTATGTGTGTTTTTGTAGTCTGTTCTCTTCCAAAATTTTCCTCTATTTAAAATTTGTGTGTGGGTCGACATTTCATTTCACTGATCTTGCATATCAAGTCTTTTGCATCACATAATTCCCATATTATTTATCTTGTTGAGTCTTGACTTTTAGACATATGAATTCGCATAGCACATGTCCCATTTACATCGCATCTGCATGACCTACTGAGGAAATTGCACGCCTAATTGAATAGAAAGATAATAATTATAAACTTCACGCTGAATTTAAACGACAAGTAAAAACTTTTGAGGTTGGTGATTCAGTGATTGTGCGGATTCGTCCGGTGCAGTTCCCACACAGAATTGTAAAGGAATTACATGTTAGAAGTGAGGGATTAGTTAAAATAGTTAATAAAATCAATGACAACGCTTACGTGGTGGATCTGTTTGCAGAGTTCAACATTCATTCCTTTTCTAACATAGAAGATTTAGTAGCCTATGAAGGTCCAGAGTTTAAACCCCAACTCCACTTCAAATTAAGTCTTGTGTGACACCACCTTGTGAGAACCCCAAAGCCTACCTCCACTCCCAAAATACCTATAGCGGAGAAGGTTGACATGATTCTGAGTGATAACATTATTTCCACAAAAGAAGGTGGACGACAAAGATATCTGATACGGTGGAGAGGTAAACCAGAGTCAGAGGATACATGGTTAGAGCGCGATGAGCAACAGCAGATCGACCCAGATGCACTAGAGTTCTACGAGAGCACCTAGAGCGCTTACTCGACGGAGTCGAGTTTTTCTCCCACCCTGGGAGAATGATGAGGACATCCGCTCTACTTTGTTTTATGTTCATTTTATTATTTGATGTATTAGTTTATTTATGAATTTTATTTGTCTTTTCCACTTTTGCCATTACTTAAGGGTTTAGACATGTGTAAACCTTATGGGCATTTTAGTACTTTTTTATTTGTCACATTGTATTGGCTATTTAAAGCCCTTCCCTCCTTTGAGGGAAAATGATGATTACGAATGAAAATTTTTAGTTTTTCTTGTTTGATCTCTTTGTGAGTTCTTGAAAGGAGAAAGTCCCTTGGTGAAGGGCAACGTAATACCCACCAGTCATTGAAAGAGTATGTGGCTCGTGGTTTGTTTTATTTTCTTTGTTATTTTCCCCCACTTCACCCACCGGCTCCTCCCTGTCCTCCCAACCACCTTCTCCGCCCCGCTCCATCACCGGTTTCCTCCTAAGAGAACCGCCGGCCCCCCACAACTTCTCCACCAAACTGGCAGCTCCCTTCCCACCATTTCTTCCCCACTTGCCGGACCACCACTCCCAAACACCCTCAGCAGTCCGCCACCCCCATTCCCCACCTTCCTCCCTCAGAAACCATTAATACTTACCTAATTAAGCCTCCATATTATGGGAAGAATTCCAATTCAAATTTTGAATTTAAATTTTGAATTCTCTCCAAATATATGGGTCGTAAATTAGGAGACTTCCCTAATCTTCACATCTGAAATAAATTTCATATTTAATTACATAACTAATTGATTGGGTGGGCCCCACCCAAATCAATTAAATCCTTTTCCCTCTTTCCCCATTCAGCCCTCAATCAAATACTGTTGCTATTCAATTATTTTCCTAATTTGTGTTGATCCAAAATCAGTGGGAATTTGAATTCAAATTCAATTTAAATTTAATGTCAAATCTTTCCCTAAATCCCTAACCCAATTAGGTAACCAATTACTCTACATAAATCTGAGTTTAAAATCAGATTTCTTCTCCTACATCAATTAAGTGCTTGGGCCCACATTTAATTAAGAACAATCCCCTAATTTGCTCCCCTAATGGCCGGCCCTTTATTCCCCTCCAATCAACATTAATTGGTATTCATTTTGGATCCAATTAATTATTTCTCTAATCACCTTTCCCTACCACCATCCATTACATTCAAAAATCAAATTTGAACTACCCCTACCCAATCGATTAGGTAAATCTGAAAATCCTGCCCAAGGAAAATTCGTTCCTGCTGTCTTGGGCCTCCAAATGCTGGCTGCTATTCCAAAACCTGCCACCTAGTATCTTGAGAATCTGAAGATAGGAATTTGCTATCCAGAAAATTCCGACCAGCAATATTGTCACCAATTCCTCTCCTGCATGCTATCCAGCAATCCGTCACGTGCTGTCCAAGGCTTTTCTAAGCCATACAATTTGTTGTCCAGAATTTCCAAGTGCTGGAACTGTTGTCCAGGTCTGCGAAGTTACTGTCCAGAATTATTTCAAGAGCCAAACTGTTGTCCCGACCATCATTGCTGCTGTCTAAGACGTCCCTAGCTGCTGTCCAGCCATTTTAGTGACCTTCTATGAGACTACGATTTTTCCGCTGTCCAGAAGGTCTCTAATCGCCATCATTAAGGCTTCCAATCCTGAAGTTGCTATCCACTATTCCCCAAGCTCATAATCGACCACACTGGAACATCGTTACTCCCCTTCTTTGGGTAAACCCTTCCTCCAATTCACTTATCTTCGTAGTTTATTTCTCAATCGTGGTTATATTTTGATTCACAACAATCATGCTAATTCTTCCCTGCTAAAGCTTAGATAACTAGAGAGTTGAGTGAGGGATTCTTGAATAGTGCCTAATCTTATTGTTAGCATTAGAATTTACATTGAAAATCATTCATGTATGAAATGTTAGATTAATTGATTGTGTTACGATCTTAACTCCTATGCATGTAATTTAACCTAAACTTGTTTTACCACTCTTTGCATTTTATCTTGTCATTTAAAATCAATATAAAGGATATAATTATTGTGGCTCTAAATATTAAGCGTGCAAATTCATTAAGTAACTCATCTTTGCATGTACGTTTTACATCACTACCCTAAAAGTGTAAATTCACATAAAAGTTTTCTGAATTTTGACTTTGAAATGATTTGATCCTCATAGCATTCACTCGGAAGGGCGCAGCACCAATATTGTATAATTTTTCATAACAGTTTATTATATACATGATAAATCAGCCACTAAATAGAGGACAAAAAAACAAAAAACTCAGCTCATTAATCAAGGATACTAGGATAGTTATCAAAACAAAATGCACCCTTTTAACCGTTGGTTTCTAGTAGCATGTTAAGCATGCTAGAGAGTATAAGAAATGGTGGGAAAAGCAGAAAACAGAATGCCCTTTTTTATATTTGGGCTAAGTTATCATCCAAGCATGTAGGATGCAAAAAATAAGCAGGAGAGTGTGGAAGGGAAGGGTTAAACTCACTAAACCAGCTATCTTCTTTATTAGTAGAGCAGGATTGTTATTTAATCCCTTTACAAGTGCAGCACTCAACTGCTTTAAGTGGGAAAGCTTCTTATCTTTCTCTGCGTCAACAAGAATAATATCAGCTTTAAGCCCCTCTGCACCCAGTGCATAAAGGTCATCCGGTGTAGGAATAGCATCAAAAAGTTCCTTGAGCTTTTTATCCTGAAAAACAAAACGGTCTTGAGCATTCTTCAACAGATAAACCATAATTTAAGATGACAAGAAAATTATAGGATTTGAATCAATTGGAAGGGTAAATGAAATCACTCGACCCTACCAAGCATGGGAAAGCGTACAAGTAGAAAAAACAAAATGGGATTACACATGAGCACATCAACAATCTAAAAATATGACAATTCGCATGGGTTATATGATCATAACATATGCCTAGTATCTAAAGAAATGTGTCTACAATATCTTGGAAAAAAATTAGACTGTGCATGGCTATAATCACCAAAAAAAGGCTAAACCTCCTAATAATAAAGGAAGAGATGTCCCCCAAAAGGTAGACTATTCAAGCAATAAACAATATTTGCAAAATCCAGAGTTACTATATACATTCACAATCTGCAGAACCCTTGACATCAAAGAAGAACAAACAATGCTCTTAGATATATACAGATCCGTCCCTAAATGGATGGATATATAAAAATTAAAACACAAGAGACCAAATAGTTTCTTGGAAAAAAGGTCATGAGAAGTGAACAATAAACTTTGAAATGAAACGAGTGACATGCATGGATATATCAGACTACAGACACAAACAGAGCATCATAACAAGAGATTATATGATTAATAAAGAAAAGATAATAAGCCATTCACTACCGTAAGAAAGTAAGAAACAAGTCAAATCAAGAAGGAATTCAATGTTGGATGTACCACTAGAAGAGTGGTGCAAATGAAATGCTTGGAAAAGAAAAGAGTGAAAAAATAACTACTTGAAAAGAAAATATTTTGCTCACCGGGATGATGGAGTAAAATCCATTAGGTATCGGCCCGGACAAACTTCCAGTGGACCACAAGGTTTGCGAAGCAACCTGTGATGAGATTTCAACTTTATCTTCTTTGCATGCAGACAACCTAGTACTCAAACTTTCTTCTTGTGAAACTAATGACACTACCGGAAACTTTTCCACAAAATCTGATGGGAAACAATTAGCATTGGAAGTCCCTGACACGGAGTTTCCTGAATCACTTGGCATCTCCATTTTCCAAATATTTAAAAGTATAAAGCATCTTGATAGAAAAATTCACCAAATAATCATCTATTATTAATCGAAAATACCTATAAGATTCCAATAAGAATTTGGTTAAATTTCATCATTCCCATAATGATCAAAAACCACAATATCTGTAAAAAATAACTTACATGATCTGCTAAAAAAGAATTAGAGCATACGGAAAAAAAATGTCCAAAAACCTCTTGAAACATAAGTAAAACAACATAAATTTCCATAATTTGTAAATATCTGATTTTAGAGCAAGACATATCAAAGTGAAAAGTAGAAATATGACATTCTGAAATTTTAGATTTTCAAAGACAACCTTTAAAAACATAAGTTTATTTAACTCATTGGTCCCTTTCCTCAGATTACATGATAGAGTCGCTTCCTGTAATTGAACATGGCATGAATATATTGAATATGAAAGACTAATTTTAGAAACTTTTTGATAGGCACTTTTCTTCCAAAGGTGAGGTAGTTGGCAAAAACAGGTTAAGCATAATGCTTCTAAAACAAAGTTGTTTACTTAAAGGCTAATGGAGATTGAAATATGATCCGCATGCCATAGCATTCTCAATTCAGCTGGACAGTTGTAAGCACTTTGGAACAGTCCATTTAGCTAAATATAATCTTATTATTTGATTCAATCAGGGAATAAATATTGCAATAGAGTTCTCTCTCGTTCAGAAGACAATAACTAGAACAAGAATCTGAAACATTACTTTTTATGCAACTCAAAACACGACATAAAATAATATAAAATTTTAAGGTTCCAAATGATTATTAAACAAATTACTTTGGACAAAAGATGAGAAATAAAGTTACAACATAACTCATTTGCATGCCAAGGATAGGGACCACAATTACAAAAAATTGTCCTTTTTTTTAATTTCCCAATCACAATATTGGATGTCAACATGAAGAAAACAATCACATGTGAAAAGAAAAAAAAATGCATCATAATTAGTCTTCAAATCGGCCAATAGAAACTCAATTCTCGAAAAAGTACTTTAAACAAAAAACACTTTTAGAAAAAGGGAGGATGAAAAAGGTTCAGATATCGAATAGGATTTTCCATCAACATCTTGGATTTTTTATAGCTCAAAGGCAAGGAGAAAGTATTTTAAACATATTAGAGGCCTTGACCTATATGGCTCGAGACTCCTGAGTCTTTGATCGAGCAAATTAATGTGGGAGATATTTTGATAACAAGCCCATCATGAATTAAATTAGTTAAATTATCTGTGAGTTGCTTAAAGAGAGTCAAAGAATAGTTGCAAGAAATCCACTAAACTGGTTATTGCATGAAATCCATAAGATTGCCTGGTTATTTGAGTAGGACGGGCTTCATACGCTTGTTTTGGGCTATCTCAAAAATCCAAGTTCAAATGTCTAGTACATTAAAAATCCCCCTCAAAAGTTTTGCTTACAGTCTTTGACAATATATCCATCTTACAAGAATAGGATTGTCATGTTTTTTATGCCATTATTTATGATTTCTCTTGTGCCAGAAAACCCACAACATGTAGGCATCTTTTGCTGATTTACCACCATTTAAAAGCTGAATCCCAACCTTGTCCTAATAACTCTTCAAGATAAATCATTTAACTAGCTTTAGGCTCTTTGCTAATCAGAATGGATCACACAAATATAAAATCTTCTCCTAATCATTCTACAAATTTTCCATAAGTTGCCTGATGAATTTTCTGGATGGATTGATAGCATACTTGTTGAACATACCCAAAGTTAAGGAATCATACTCCAAGCACAAATTCATGAAAGTAGAGGAATTATCTTCAATGTTTCTACGCCTTGTGAATAATGATCAATATAAAAAAGCATGAATATTACATTATTTTATCTCAATATTAATATAAATCTTTGAGTAAGTTGACAATTCTGCAAAAAATATTGACTCTTAGAATGATAGCACAATGTGGCTCCCCAATGCTAACTATCCAGCAGATATTTTACAACATTCCTTGTTAAACAATCCTCATTTTAACTCCTCCATTTCCCATCATCTCACATTCACCCTTAAACTCATCCGCATGTCGCAATTATTTTGCCTTTGATTACAAAACCAAACTGTAATTCCCACTTTAAAACTTCTTCCCGCAATACAAAAATAGAAATTAGTTTGATGTTTTCAAAACTGTCACTGCTAAAGTAAAAGAAAGGTGTTAAACAGATATCACCAATAGAACATTCCTTGAAATTTGTTAAAAAGTGGGAATTGGCTATCAAGCATCCCAAAAAACACCAATGATGAAAGCCAAAGACCATCTTCAGCATGACAGCAAGAAATCAACAACAAGCAATGAGCACTAAACCTCAACTCAGAGATCAACAATCATATTCTCCTAAAAAGGTAGCATCAAAAAACCACTGCGTAAACAAGAGATTGTATTTAAGAGATTGTTTTTAAGGGCAATCAAATTAATCTCCATACCACAGCAATAGTTTTGTCCATACCTCTGATATCATGGTAACATATCAAAGAAAATAGGGAAATTAGAATTTTATTGATTTAAGTAATCAAGGTTCAATTAACACTCTCATCAGTCTAGACTTTCCTAACTTGGTCATATTATGTGACATTCCATGGTAAACCCTGCTTCATCTCTTTGTATTAAACTCCAAGTTCGACCTGATAAAATTAAGCGCTTCAAGTCCAAAATTCCCGTCAATATAAAAGAACCTAAAATTTACATCCCATGCATGCAAAAACGGAACCAGTATGCATTCGTGGACGATATAGCCTCTTATCATAGAATTAAATATCATTGTAAAGCTTCAATGGAAGGAGATGGCCCAAGGAAAATCAAACTTGCTTGCCAGTACCAACACCAGAGTCAGGAAGAATGCTCAAATCAACCAACAAACCAGCTTATTACTCATGCAAAGAAATTCAGGCTTCTTAAATCTGATCCTCATCACAGTCCAAACACCTTCAGATATCATTATTGAAACGCTGAATTTAATCAAGCAAAATTAAGTCGACATAATTCAAAGGCACGATGTAAAGCTGCAGAGTACACTTGCATCAAACGAGGAGAGGGGCTTCAAGAATTCCAAATGGAACTGTTGAAATTCGCATGTTAGAAGCGCCTGTAAATGAAATTATCGGCCAGAGGCGGTGAAATACGCGCATAAATTGCCGAGACTTAAACGAGATAATACAAGTTATTTTCCCGAAAATACATCAAAGAAAGACCGTTAAGGTTTAACCTAATTCAAATTGGAGAAATCGTAGGTGTGGCAGATCCTAAATCAATAGTAAGCGATATGGTGGGAACTTCATTCTTTCCGAAAATTAAAAGAAAGAAAGCAAATATTAAAACAATGGGGATCTAATTCGATATAGAAGGGCCCGGAGAAGTGAAAATATGAGGCAGATCTCGAGGAACTCACTCGAAGATCCGCGCAATCGGACCCCTCCATCATCTTACGGCGGCTGCTCTGATGCCGAAACGGAGAGGGCGGCCTGGCCTCGATAACTGCACAGCGCAGAAGGAAGGGTTCGGTAAGGAAGAGGTGAGAACTCAAGACTCGGGAGACGGAGAAGATGAAGTATCGGAAAAGCACAGAAGCGAAATGTGGAGGGCTGAGGGTTATTGAAGACGTTATTTTCTAAGGTTTCTTGTAATTTGACTGGTTTTTTCTCTTTCCCTTCCCTTCTTATCGGTTTTTTTTTTTTTTTCGTGTTGCATATGGGTATGGGGCTGGCTGTTCGGGTCGGGTCAGGTCCGGTCGTTTGAGAAGTGATGAGCTGGAAGTAGGGCCACACAAGCGTGCCGGTACATATCACGAGACTGATTCATCCTAGCAATATGCAGATCACCGCGTGATGGCCTGCAAGTTGAGATTTTTTTTTTTTTAACATTTAGAGCAATTAAATTAAATTTATGCAGATTAAAAACTTCAAATTCAAAGCCTATTTATTGATAATCAAAGCTCTCAATCAACAGATCAAGATAATCTATATAAAATTTGATATTTACAAAAGAGCAAGGCTTCATTCCGATAATTTTCTTAGTAAAAAAATAACTTTAAAAAATAACATAAATGAAATAGTCAAAAGTTATGACAAACAAAGCATACAGCTTTCTTATCATTTTATTTTTTTTATCTAACAACTATAATTTTAATTTCTATTTGGACTTTTTTTAATTATACTAAAAATTTGTTTTTTTCTAATAGATTCAAAAAATTACCTTTTCTACACCACTTTTATAAAGTGCTAAGAAAGTCAACATAAGTCTAAAAATTATGTCTCAGCTTTCCATTTTGATATCATTTATATTAAAATACTTAGATATGTAATTATCGGCCAGAGGCGGTGAAGCTGTATGTGAAGTTTAAGAAAATCGCTCTGCTAGGGTTTTTTCTCTTTTGGCGGCTCCCTCGTGTTTTTTTTTTCTTTCCGGCCGGCGAGCCTTTCTTCTCCTCTCTCGGGAGGAGGCTGGCTCCTCCTCTCCGGAATGGCTCTTGATCCTTCTGCTTTTCCTCGTCTCCCGGTCACTTCCGTGCTTGGTGCTCCTTCAAGGCCGCTGGTCTCCTACGCGGACAACCTAGCTTCTCCTTCAGTCTTACCTGATGACTGGCCCATGTCTTTTGTCACTCCTACCACATGTTGACCTCGTTTTTGTCTCGATTTGTCATCGAGTGATCTTGATCGTGTTGATCGAGCCTTGTTGAGCCGGATTTAATTCTAATTGGCATTAATTTGAGTTTGATTTATTTTATCTTATTTTATTGAATTAATTTTGGTTGAGTCGAGGCGAGCTCGAGTTGACCCGGATCGAACCAAACCTGACTCAGTCTGAATCTGATTTCTTCCCTTGAGCGTAGTTAAATCCTAATAAAAAAATATAATAGTTTTCTAAGCCAATTTCAATCTCATCGTTGGATCAAAAATTTGATCTAACGGCTTAGATTTCCCCTCTCTCTCTCTCTCTCTCGCTGGGGGAGCTCTCGTGGCTCTGACCGTAAGAAGCCCTAGCCGTAAGCGGCTTTGCTCTGCTCTTTCTCTCCCAGGCCCGACCTCACTCTTCTCTCTCTCTCATTTTCTCTGTCCCGAAGCCCCGCTCTCCGTCTCTCCGGATACTCTCTGCATTCTCACAAGCCGAAGCCTCTCGCTTCCTCTTCCTCTATCGCGTGAGCCAAGGGAAGACTGAACCTGACGACAGCTCCCCGATCCTTCCCATTCGCACGCCTTCAACTCCAAACCCGATGCCCTTTCTCTCACGGTCTGACTCTCTCGCTCCCGTTTCTTCTCGGTTCGCAAGCCACCCAACGCCAACCTCCGCCCCCTCTCTCCCTTGCTCTCTGGTTCGGGAGAAGAAAGCCGAGCTCTCCTCCCCAATCTTCCTCCTGATCGCGGATTTCGGGAGAAGCCGCAAGTCCTAAGCTCGTCGCCTCACCTAACGCCGCCCAACTTCCCGTAAGGTCGGAGTTTTTCTGCCTCCACCTCATTTGCACGAGCTGAAGCACGTTGACTTGCTTTAACTGAAGCTTCTACCTCCCATCTCCCGTTCGTTCCGCCTCAAGAAATCCCGTCGCTGATCCTGACTACAGTTCTGACAGACCTAGATCGCTCCTTTTCTTCCTCTACGCTACTTCATTCCGTCCACTTGATTCCCACCGTAACAGCCTCCCAACTACAGGTATATTGTTTAATCACATTTTAATATAATCATAAACTAGTTTCCCTACCAGAAATTGCTGTTTGCTGAAGTTATTTTGGTATTCACCATACATCGGGGTCACCATCGCATGAAGAAATGTGCTCATATACTTACTCGTATACATTCTGTGTAGATCTGCATGGGTAAAAGAAATATCCTGATGTAGTTTATTTTATTGTGTCAGGATTTTGCATTATCTTGAAACTCATGGGCATGTGTTATATTCCTCTTAAATCAATCATTACCTGTATGTTTAATTTAACCTTTTTTTTAATGACATCACATATTAAGGTTTGAGGTTGAGTTATTGTTTATAAAGTGAGATATGAGAGAGCTCTGGTACACGAATAGAAATTAAGCAAAGCATCTGTTTGCCTTCTCTTGAAGAAAGGGATTTCCATTTAAATTTTTTTTTATCACATATATTTGTAGGCAATAATATCTTGTATCATTATTTAAGATAAATTGTTTAAAATAAGTGGCCATTAGTATTCTTCTTTCTATGTTAATGAATCAATTTTAGTCTTCAAGACGATCAGAATGAGGTTATAAAATTTGATTTTTATTATTGCTCTAACTAGAGGTTTCTTTTGTGAATTATTATCAAGATTATTTAGAAAACATTTTTTTTTTGTGACAAATATTATTTCTAAACGATGTTATAAAAGTTTCTTGTTATTAAATTAGAAAATTCTTACTTATGTTTTCACTCCAGTATGATGTACGACTTGGACATTGATGAATTGTGGTAGTCTCTTTTCCTTCCGATTCAATCTGTTTCATTCCTTATGATATTGTATAATGCCTACCTTAGCTTGAATGAAGGAATTGTAGATGATTTGCATGAAACTACAAAGAAATTTAGTGATATTTAATGCAAATAGTTTTTTTTTACTTCTTTTTGATCTCGCTGTTCTTTCAATGTATATGTTTTAGGAGTTCTTTTAGCATAATTTCTTATAACATATTTTATTTCTCATGTAAAAGTTTGTTTTCAATTAAGTTTAATGGTGTGTTAAGCATTTCTCATGGTTTACAAAATATAGAAAATGAGATTTTGGCTTGCTTATATTAAAAGGATTTATGATTGGTTTTAGATTTATTTTATATTGGAGAATTTTACGATAAATTTTATGAATATTTTGCAACGGATAGCTTTTGTGAAACTTTTCTTGTAGGAAAGTTTTAATGAATTATTACCCCACTCCAAATGTGATAAAAGGCACTTGATTATTTGTTGTTTTGTAAGGTTTTGGGTAGTATTTTATTTAGAAGTTTTCATAGGGTGTTTGGAGG